CAGCGTGGACGCTCTCATAGCAACTGTTGCTATGGATAATTGAGTTCCTGTTTTTCTTTTTTAGCCAGAGCATGAAAATCATTATTTAATCAATATTTGATTTCTGTAGAAGTCAGCTGTTCAAGAAGCCTCCTCCTCCTCTGGCTGAGTATTTCTGTTTGACTGAATCGACTGTTGTTCTATTTTATCATCATGACTCGACTCTGAGCGGCCTGCCGCGTTTTTTAAACAGAAATCAAACCGGCTACAAATCACTGGTCACACAATGTTTACAAGCCCCCCCCCCCCAACTCTGGGTGTAACACGGATACTCACACACTGGCGTGGGGTTTCTTCTTGGAGAAGTCGCAGGCCAGGCCGAGGTCGGAGATCCGAACATGGCCATGTTCATCCAACAGGATATTAGCTGGCTGTGGGAGGACAGAGAGAGAGAGAGAGAGAGAGAGAGAGAGAGAGGACGGGAGAGACGGTGATATTGATGGAGAGAATCGGAGATAAGATCATAAGTGAAGGAAACAATGTTGGAGAGCTCACTAATTCATGACTTAAGTTACAATTTCCGCAGCAGCAGAAGAAAAGTCAGAGAGAGATCGAGACACTAGAAGAAATCCACTCGCCCTGGTTATCCTCTATCTCTCTCTCTCCCCCTCCTCTCTCCCCATCCCTCTCGCTCTCTCTCTCTCCCCCGTCCTCTCTCTCACCCTCTCTCCCCCTCCTTCTCTCTCCCCCCCCTCCTTCTCTCTCCATCTCTCCCCCTCCTTCTCGCTCTCTCTCTCTTCTCTCCCCCTCCCTCTCGCTCTCTCTCTCTCCCCCGTCCTCTCTCACTCTCTCTCCCTCTCCCCCCTCCCTCTCCCTCTCTCTCTCTCGACCTGTACGTATTATCTGCATCGTGCAGCTCTGTTTATTGAAGCCCTAAAACTGTTCCCTGACTTTCTGCAGAAAACGTCTGTTGTTATGGCAACCGGTCCAAACATGGGAGAGAGAGAGGAAACACAGAGGACGGCCGAAAACATGGCCGACATCAATCCAAGGTTTTGGAAAAGAGGTGAGTCGGTGGATCAGTGGATGGAGACCCAGTCCAGGAGAAACTAAAGATCAACTTCCTGTATCCTCGTTACCCCAAAGTAAAGATCAAAAAGAAATCTTTAAAAAACATCTCAAATCTGATCGTCATCACGGGAACAAATAGTCAATTTAATGTAAGGATGCATGTCCTCTGAGGGCTTCCGTAGAGTAACAGCTTCAAATGGTCTGTTCTACAGTAAACAGCTGATTCAGAGGGGGGGGGGGGTCTTACCTTGAGGTCTCTGTAGACCACGAAGCGGTTGTGCATGTGCTCCAGACCCAGAATGATTTCAGCCGCGTAGAAACGCATCTCCTTCTCACTGAACACGCCGTGCTGAGACAGGTGGTAGTGCAGGTCGCCCCCTGAGGACACACACACACACACACACACACACACACACACACACACACACACACACACACACACACACACACACACACACACACAACACACACACACACACACACACACACACACACACACACACACACACACACACACACACACACACACACACACACACACACACACACACACACACACACACACAGTGATGAAGTGACTTTATTTATGTGGTGATTGAAATCTCTTCAAAGTCACCTGAGCGTCACAACTTCCTGTTTCTTTAAAAGCTGCAGTTTGGATTCTGTTATCTCAACGGGGGAGCCAGCGAAACTACCAGAGTGCAGCCTGAAATCTGAAGAAACAGCTACGATAAGAAGAAACCAACGGCATGAGAAAGAGGAACGAAGAGAGACATCTGTCTCCTGTCTGCTAGTTTATCGATGTGAGATGGCGACCTTGTACGGATGTAAACAGATAAATAAAGGCAGCAGTTTAAAGGTGCACTCTGGAGGTTTGGGAGAGAAATTTGAAAGTTGGAGAAACGTACAGATTCTGTGGTATATGTTCATAACTCTAAACACAAACTGTCATCAGAGGAACATTTGGTCCCTGTAAAACTGTTGGAAGATAAAAAGTCATGGTGGGGGTCCGCGACAGTGACACTGTAACTCTCCTGGTAGCTTTTAACCTCCAATCAGAGTTCCAGGGAAGTTTGTGTATTCAGTTAAAAAAAATATAGTATGGACTTGTTTCACTTCTCCAACTTTCAATATCTCGCTACCTCTCCCTCTCTCTTCCTCTAACTCTCTCTCCCCTCCCTCCCTCTGTCTCTCTCCCCCTCTCTCTCTCCCCTCCCTCCCTCCGTCTCTCTCCCCCTCTCTCTCTCTCCCCTCCCTCCCTCCGTCTCTCTCTCCCTCTCTCCCCCTCTGTCTCTCTCTCCCTCTCTCCCCCTCTAACTAACTCTCTCTCCTCTCTCTCTCCCCTCTAACTCTCTCTCCTCTCTCTCTCCCCTCCCTCCCTCTGTCTCTCTCTCCCTCTCTCCTCTAACTCTCTCTCCTTCTCCCCCCCCCTCTCTCTCTCTCTCCCTCTCTCTCTCCCCCTCTCTTTAGAGTTACAGTTCTCCAACTTTCAAATTTCACAACCAAAACTCCACAGTGCACCTTTAAAGACGTTGAGGCGCGACCCGCTCAGGTTTTGGTCTCTGTGTGTGTGAAACACATTCACGGGTCATTAAAGTCTCGAGTGTTTGATTCTCATGTCGGACGATCAGAGAAGAATCACATCCCTGATATAAACACAGCTCATGAGTCTGCAGCGTGACCTCACAACACCTCGTGTGGATCGATCGGCGTCAATATGTTGTGCTAATCTTCTCAGGGGAGAAAAAGAGAATCAGTGGGGGGGGGCTTTCTGAGACTCCTCCCTCCACCCAGGCCGACTCAGTGAAGATACAACAGCAGAGTGCTGATGACTGTGTGTGTGTGAGAGGTGACTCAGGCTGCTGACGCTGCTGACGATGGAGTCCTGAGGAGGAGACACTCGAGATGAGCTGTGAGGGGGGGGGGGGGGCTGACATGTGAGGAGTCAGACTCTCTGTGGGAGAGAGACCCGGCCTGCTCGGGACAGGTTAGTAATCCAATCAGGAGTCTCAGGAGGGGATGTTTTGAGGTCTGTGAGAGTGTGTTGGAGGTCAGCCTACCGTTCATGAGGTCCAGGATGAAGCACAGCTTGTCGGGGGTGTGGAAGGCGTACGTCATACACACGATGAACGGGCAGTCCTGCAGAGATGGAGGCAAAAACAAATAGCAGAGAAATGACACCAGAGACTTCAAAGGAAACAGTCTGTTCATTTCATGAAGTTTCTAAAGAAGGCCGCTGCATAGGAGAGAAATGAATCCATCGGACGTCTACTTTTGTCGCCGTTGTTTTGAAACAAACATCAACATCGTTTTGAGTTTGACTTGAATCACATCCAAGTTTTTAAAATCAGGTATCGTGACACCTCCAGCAGAAACTGGGAGGAGGTCGATACGTCCAAAGAAACAAAACAAAACAAACTTCTGAAACGACGACATAAAAACACATTAAAAAGTTACTAGTAAGCCTCTCGTTGCTATGACAACAGGAGTATTCTCAGCTTCATTATGTAATGATTTGGTAGTATAAGTGTGGAAACTTTCAGGGAAAAATGGAACTTTTGAAACATTCAGAGGAGGGACAAAGAAACTCACATCCTTTTTTTGAAGTCGGAAAAAATGACAAAAACAAAGTCGAAGTCCTCCGATTGAAGTTTTTCAAATAAATCAAATCAAATGTTTGATTCTGCAGTAAAATGTCTGCTGTGACTCACGTCTGGTTGCATCACATATCATTATTAATAAAAGGTTTATTATCCCTTTATTTTAGAGAGAGAGCGGGGCAAGACGAGCATGAATGGAGCAACAGGTTGGACTTGAACCCAGGACGCCCGCTTGTAGGACTACAGCCTCCGTATACGGGGGTCCGACATTACCGCTAGGACATCTGCGTCCCGTTAGTAAAACAATAACCACTTAACATCTTCATAAATCTGAAGTTTAATCGACTGTCAGAAGCAGAACAAAGCTAACCTTTATTTTATTTTGCTGTCGACATCGTCTGCCCGAGGACAACAGATGGAAATTAGCTAGCTAGCTAAATCTGTTACAAAGCATCTCTTCTGAGACTAATGGGTTTTTTTGTACACTGTCCTCGATTCAAATAAACGATTAAACTAAAAAAAAATAAAAACCTTGGCTACGTCAGTTAGCTGATTAGCTCCTCTTGTTATTCTTTGTTTGTTTCTGAGCTCTGAGTCAGATTCTACTTTATTAAAACTTCTGAAGTGATGGAGCATCGTGTTTCTAACTCACCCCCGTGCTGACTAACGACAGCATGATTCTCTCGTTGAGCGCCAGAGTCTCGCCCTGCTTCATCTTGATCCTCTTCTTGTCCAAACACTTCATGGCGTACCTGTCGGGTCAAACAGCGAGCGCCACAGATTAAACACGGGGCAGAAAGCGTTAATGTGAGTGTTTTTATCAGTGGAGGAGTTTTTCCTCACATCTTCCCCGTGTCGGCCTTCCTGCAGCCGTACACCTCGCCGAAGCCGCCCCTGCCGATGATCCGATGCACGCTGAAGTCGTTCATGGTCAGCTGAGGACGGGCGGAAGAGAAGAAGGTTTAAAAAAAGAGGCGGGACAGAAGTTGGTAAATATCTTCAGACCTGCTCGAATCGGTTCAGACGGGGATGAAAACTGTCAAGAAGAGTGTCAAACCTGCAATCTTTTAAAAGTTCACTTCTGAAGTGAGGTGACCTCTGACCTCTGATTAACGAGGCGTTTCAGATAGGACACGGTGTGCGCTGCGCTCGCCGCAGGAGCAGAAGGGGAGCGTGCACAAGAAATCAACAGCACACGTTACTGACAATATCTGACATACTGTAAGTTTATATGTGTTGAGGAGGAGAAGAGGGCGTGGTCTCTCTCTGTCTCTCTCTCTCTCTCTCTCTGTCTCTCTCTCTCTCCCGGGGCCACGCAGCCTCAGGTGCGGGGATCTCAACCGGTAATGATCCTTATCCTCCGTTTGTTGTGATCTGATCTTCCCTCCTATTGGACGCGCTGAGGTGACGTCACCAAGGGCTGCGTCCAAGTTCAAAAATCTTTAAACGGACGGCAAAGGCGCGACCTTGCACTGCGCTCAGCTCGGCACAGATAGGATCGAGCGATGCAGATAACACATCAGGTAGACAAAGAATGGGTTTGAGTCACTCACTGCGTCGTATCTGAAGGGACTTTGGAAGATTTTTAATCATCAAGTACTTCTTTTTTATAAGTCTGTTCTCGCTAAACAGTTTTCTTTTTAAACTTTTATTCACCAAAATGTGCATACACACACTCACAATAAAAAAAAAGAAAGAGATAGAAACAAGAGGGGAACTGTGGTACGATAAAGTTTTGCAAGCAGATTCAGACAAAAACAAACAAACAAACAAACAAAACAAAAGGAAAAGGGTCAGTAAATAAAATGAATGAATTAGAAAGAGGGACAAAATAAGTAAATGAGAAAACAGGACAAAGAAAAACACGGGGATAGTAGAGTAACGAAATGGTGTAAAATAAAACTGGTGGGGTAGGTTGATTTTATTATTTTTTAAATTATTTTTTAAAACCAGTTGAAGATCGTTGCAGACGCAGGATGTTCAGGGCGTTGTGGTTGCAGATGCGTCACCTCGGTATGAACACTTTTAAAAACTGAAACTGAAGGAGTAAAAGTATCGGACTTTTGTGGTGTATCATAAACACTTCAGTAAACAGCATCTGCTGAATGAAGGGAGCCGGATGTTTAAACACATTTGAAAGGACTGTTCTGGTGTTCCTCGTTAAAAAGTGAGCACACAGTAACTGCAAACCTTTAAAGTGGAACTGCAGGTCGACAGCGAGCGTGTTTACACGTTTAACCACATTCAGGATATTGTGTTTACATTGAACATTACAAGCTGTGTTATTAACCTTCACACAAACAGGCTGCATGTTTCTGATCATCTGTTGTCTCATTGATCGTGAAGATGCAGAGTGAATCACTCAATCTGTCCAATGAATGACTAACTGATCACCGTGTTATGTCATGTTTTAACCACTCTTGGTTCATTGGACGGGAAAGTAAAGAGCAGCTCTGAGTGTTTTTCTTTTTTTCTATTGATGTGAACGACACAGAGACACAGTTTTTGAAACCACCGACCACACACTAATAACGGAAGTAGCGTGCAGTATGCTCTACGTTCAGCAGCAGTCTGTCTGTCAGTCGGTGGTTATTCTGCATTACACCAGATCCGGCTAAGCTGGTTTACGGTTCGGGAAAGAGGAAGTAAAGAACAGCCCAAACGCTGTTACAGCAGTCCACTTACAGTCTGAGAACAGCTGACGAAAGATTCATTTAGATTTTCAAGATTCAGAGAATGGCCGTCATTTCCATCTCTGACCTGGCGCTTTGCATTGTGGGAAACAGGATGCAGACATTTATTTACAGAATCAGTACGGCGTCCGGGTACAGACTGCGGATCTCACTTTGTTAAAAAACTTCATTTTGGACCAATCAGGACGAACTACTATAGTAGGCGGTTTAGAAAACTAACACAGACTCTGTGAGGGGAAGGGGACAGGTGCATTCAAGTGTTTAGAGGACAACAGGTGCATTCAGGTGTTTAGAGGACAACAGGTGCATTCAGGTGTTTAGAGGACAACAGGTGCATTCAGGTGTTTAGAGGACAACAGGTGCATTCAAGTGTTTAGAGGACAACAGGTGCATTCAAGTGTTTAGAGGACAGGTGCATGCACGTGTTCAGAGGACAGGTGTTTAGAGGACAGGTGCATGCAGGTGTTTAGAGGACAGGTGCATGCAGGTGTTTAGAGGACAGGTGCATGCAGGTGTTCAGAGGACAGGAGGTGCATGCAGGTGTTTAGAGGACAACAGGTGCATTCAGGTGTTTAGAGGACAACAGGTGCATTCAGGTGTTTAGAGGACAACAGGTGCATTCAGGTGTTTAGAGGACAGGTGCATGCAGGTGTTCAGAGGACAACAGGTGCATTCAGGTGTTTAGAGGACAGGTGCATGCAGGTGTTCAGAGGACAACAGGTGCATTCAGGTGTTTAGAGGACAACAGGTGCATTCAAGTGTTTAGAGGACAACAGGTGCATTCAAGTGTTTAGAGGACAACAGGTGCATTCAAGTGTTTAGAGGACAGGTGCATGCAGGTGTTCAGAGGACAGGTGCATGCAGGTGTTCAGAGGACAGGTACATGCAGGGGTTCAGAGGACAGGTGTTTAGAGGACAACAGGTGCATGCAGGTGTTTAGAGGACAGGTGCATGCAGGTGTTTAGAGGACAACAGGTGCATTCAGGTGTTTAGAGGACAACAGGTGCATGCAGGTGTTTAGAGGACAACAGGTGCATTCAAGTGTTTAGAGGACAACAGGTGCATTCAAGTGTTTAGAGGACAACAGGTGCATTCAAGTGTTTAGAGGACAACAGGTGCATTCAAGTGTTTAGAGGACAGGTGCATGCAGGTGTTCAGAGGACAGGTGCATGCAGGTGTTCAGAGGACAGGTGCATGCAGGTGTTCAGAGGACAGGTGCATGCAGGTGTTTAGAGGACAGGTACATGCAGGTGTTTAGAGGACAGGTACATGCAGGGGTTCAGAGGACAGGTACATGCAGGGGTTCAGAGGACAGGTGTTTAGAGGACAACAGGTGCATGCAGGTGTTTAGAGGACAGGTGCATGCAGGTGTTTAGAGGACAACAGGTGCATGCAGGTGTTTAGAGGACAACAGGTGCATTCAAGTGTTTAGAGGACAACAGGTGCATTCAGGTGTTTAGAGGACAACAGGTGCATTCAGGTGTTTAGAGGACAACAGGTGCATTCAAGTGTTTAGAGGACAGGTGCATGCAGGTGTTCAGATTCTGCGTGTGAACAGTTTCCATGGAAACCATGATTTCTGACGTCCATCATGATGTGATATCAGTGAATCCACTTAGAAAGAAGGGGGAAAGGTGAATCTTACACCTGAAGAACTACTGTGATAGTAGTTGTACATCCATAGACATCCTGATAACTCCATTAATACACCGCTTCAATATATTTCTATAAAACAGATGTGTCACAGGGCGCACGCTGTTGGACAGAGCAGAACCGTGATGCTTCAAGAACGCAGCACGCACCGACTATGTGGAAATTGCAGGTAACGGTTCCTGATACTAAAATGTGACTCAAATTATTTTTCATCTTTCGACTCGGACTAAATGTAAAAACAGCTGACAGGCTGAACTCTGCTGGGAGGTTATGATGTCAGTTTTCACCCCACAGTGTCAGACTGGATCAAACAAACCAATCAAACATCAGGTGAGAAAGTGACATCATCATCTTGTACTCACATGGATGTTGAGCTCCACGTTCTTCCACTGACAAAAACGAGTGAACTTGTCGCTGTGGGGAGAGAAGAAGAGAACAAAGGAGGCTGTGAGTTTACTGTACGCGTCGTAAAAATAAATAAAAAACCTGAATCTCTCCACCTCCAACTCACCTCTCGATGAACTTCTGGAAGATCTTCCCTCTCAAGCTGTCACAGATCTCCACGATGTACGGCTGCAGGGGGACAGACACATAAACAGCAGCATCCTCTCAGTAACAATGTGGTAAAAATTCTTTGCAAATGTGTGTGAATAGCTCTCCTCTGAGCATGTTTGTGACGGCTGAGCTGGACGTGATGTCACTTCCTGCCTTTCATTAAATAGCTTTAATAAGATTTTAAACTTTAACTCTGCACTGTAACTTTTAATTATTTTTATATTTTTACTTCAATTAATTTCATCTGAATTATTTTTATTTGAACATATGTTCAGATTTAATAATTTCAGTGATTTTTTAAATGTTCTATTTTAATGTTTCTTTTCTTTCCTCTGTCATGATGCTTTTGATGTCTTGTGTGAAGCACTCTGAATTGCCTTGTTGTTGAAATGTGCGACATAAAAAAACTTGCCTTGCCTGAAGCTGATGTTAAACTTTTCTTTTTGTTGTGTCTTTGTGAACACACCTCTACCACCAGCTGAGCGTGAAGTTTAAAAGCTGAAAACAATTATCCAGGAAATACTGACAGGTTGGTGGAACGTCTTTGAGGATGGAGTAAGTCCCTGGGGATAACTTCATACCCAGAATAAGAGGCGTGTCGTGTATGGAAGCAAATAAGAGACATCATTATTTGAATTTTTCAACATGAATATCTGGATCTGAATTTGACCAGTTGAATTTTTTAGATCTGAATTTGACTAATCGAGTTTGAGTAACCTGAATCTTTTTAATGTTGAAATTGTGACACTTTTTCCAATTTTTGGATCTGAATTATAAATTGTTGAATTCACGACAAATAAATTCAGATAAATTGTTTTCAAAGTAAAATATTTCAATGCTATGAATTCAGTGGTGTTTAAATGTCAATATTTAACATTCAGTGGCTGTTAAAATTCTAATAATGATGTCTCTTATTTGCTTCCATCGTCGCGGTCTAAACGGGGGGAGATGGTCGATTCGATTTGCGCAGCTGAAAGGAAACGACTGTCCCTCACTTCTCAGGATCGGGTTTTCCTGGGTGGCCTTTTGGCAGTTGATGCTCTTCACTAAATGTTTAATGAGCAGCAGCATGAAACGGAGAATGTGGTGTTTAAAAATACTACAAGATTACATCTGGCTGATGGACGTGATACAAACACTTCCTTTATGAGAGATGAGAGCGTACGTAGAATCCCAGACAGACAGAGAGGCTATTTTAAGACAGACACTTCTTGTGAGGAGTGTTAAACGGTCATTCTGCGGTTTTCATACCCAGGACTCTTCGTGGAAATTTGAATTCTCTTAAACTTCAGTGAATCAAAATAACAACAAACACACATTCTTATTTATTTTAACACTTTAAATTAAGAGATTTAAATTAGCAATATGTAACTCTGACCCCTAGTGTTTAAAATGTGTACTGCAGTCTAAATTCTAAACATTGTAGAGAGCTGTGTCCCCCCCCCCCCCTCTAGAGTGGATGCTCACACAGGTCACCATGTGGTGGACTCTGAAGCTTCAGTGTTTATCCAGCTCTGCATGGGTCTGTAAACCTTTCTGTGTTCTAACCTCTCAAAAACAAAAAACTACAACTGTGGGAGAAGCTGCAGGATGCTGAAAAACTGCGGTTTGAAATTGTGTGTGTGTGTGTGTGTGTGTGTGTGTGTGTGTGTGTGTGTGTGTCCAAAAATAAGCAGTCTCGTCTATTTATGATCGCCATTCGGTATCAAATCCAACTTGTTGTTTTTTAAACTAAAACTTTGACATGTGACAGCAGGGAAGGCAAAGCACATTCATATGTTGTGTGTGCGTACAGGAAGCACAGAGAAAAGTGTGAAAGGTTTCTGTCATAAATACCTGGAAGAGGGTGGGGGGAACCTGTTTCTTCTTTAGGTGACTCTGCACATGGTCCACTGCTTTCTTAGAAAAGGGCTGAAGGAAGAAAGAAGAAGAGGTCATTAAAAATGCAGCGTTACCAGAAGTTTCACTTCTCTTTCTGTGTGTGTGTGTGTGTGTGTGTGTGTGTGTGTGTGTGTGTGTGTGTGTGTGTGTAATAACTTCCTCCCTTCAGACAGGAGAGTGGAGTACAAACTTTTCTGTGCGTCCCTCAGTTCAGTCTTGCAGGAGGACGGAGCTGCAGTGTTTGTTGTAAACTCGTGTTTGAAGAGAAACCACTTTGTTCAGTCTCATCATCAAAGGCTGAGCTGATTCTTGTCTGGTTGTTTTTCCTTTTAGAGACTGAAATCAGTCATTCATGTGAAGAGCATAAAGTCAGGTATTAAACATCTGTGAGGTCTAACATCTGCAGCCCTGCGGTCGTTCTGTTACGTCAGCATCCCTTTAATCAAACTACAGTAAAGGACCAGGATGCTCCGTGCGATGCTAAAGTGATGACATACGACGTATTGAACATAACTTATTTAGAAAGAGAGCGAGGAGGTCATTATTATGTGCTCACATGACGACCCATGATCATATTTAATCCCAATCAATCAACTGGCATGAGTGCAAACTGAAGACACAGAAAGGGCGGGAAGCTGCGACCTCCCCCTTTCTCTTCTGCTTCACCTTTGGGATCATTACCTACACAGCGAGCAGCTCTCTCTCTCTCTCTCTTTTATTGATCTTTTACTTTATCTGTAGAAAGTCTGACATTAAGGGTAACGTGTGAACGATGAGAAGACGAATGGTCGAGTTCATTTGTTGGGAAACACTGTGATAGATTAATAAATATCCAGAATATCCACATCAATCCAGGAGAATCATTTCCCCTGCGGCTCAGTTTTTATTACTACTTCAGTTTCTTCTCTCTCTTATTCTGAAAATCGTCTCTTATTTTGAAAAAACGTATGTGCTTTGGTTTCTCTGTGGGATCGATACAGTCGGTCTGAAGTCTTTCTTTCGGTTGAGGTCAAACTGTAAAATATTTCACAATAAAAACAGATTGATCGGAGAAAAATCTCTTTTTGATGTTCTATGTTTTTCTGTTTCTCTTTACTGGGAGCTGTTTGATGGTTTACTGGAACCAGTCCCTCACAGGTGCTCGCTTTGTGTCCCTGTGTGTGCGTGACCTCAGGGTCACCGCTGTGTGAGAGTGTGTTTATGTGTGTGTATGTGTGTAGGTGCGTGTGTGTGTGTGAGTGCAAGTGTATGTATGTGTGTGTGTGTGTGTGTGTGTGTGTGCGCAAGTGTATGTATGTGTGTGTGTGTGAGAGTAGGTGAGTCTGTGTGTGTGTAGGTGAGTGTGTGTGTATGTGTATGTGTATGTGTGTGTGTATATGTATATGTGTGTGTGTGTGTGTGTGTGTGTGTGTGTGTGTGTGTCACCCTCACGTGTGAGGAGGACAGCAGCTCCTTCATGATGTATCCGTCGTAAATCTGCCGGCTGCGGCTCGACCTCTCGTCCTCGGAGTCCAGCTTCTCGTAGTCTTTAATCTGAGACGGACAACACGAGGTCACGTTAACGACAGAACAACACCGGGCGACCACGATTACTGCGCCTAATCTCCCAGCCATCCCATGACGCTGTATAATCACACACACACACAGGTCTGACTCACTTCCTCGTAGAACTTGAGCTGCGGCACGGCCTCGTCGATCTCGTTCATACAGAAGTCTTTGAAGAGGAGGAAGCCTGGAGGACACAGAGGGACACGGTGAGGACAAACGCCTTCTGATGGTTACAGGTCACTTAACCACGAACGATCACACACACACGACCACACGGATTCAACTTCTAGAGGATTGAGAGGACGTCTGGACGCCATTGAAGGTCTCCTGAGGATCAAACCTGCTGACTCTGATGATCCTGTGACAACCAGAATCATAACGTCATGACCCTCAGTGACAAAGACAAATAATAAAACAGAAGACTCATGTGAAGTCTGCTCTTTGGGTTCAGAGGTCACAGAAATGTCAAAACAAACAGACGTCTTCAGACGTTTCATGACGTGCAGATGAATTTCCTTTTTCAAGAAACATCACAGCATCAATCATTACTTCATTAAATATTCCACAGTTAAGTTCAACAGAGCTCACAAATGTCTGTCGTATATTTTCTCTCTCTTTGTAACTGTATTTAATCCCTGCTGCATTCATAACTGAACTGTTCTTTATCTCTGTTGTTTCTTAAGTCCTCCCGTGGACAGGTGTTGCAAATTAGCATGTTGCTATAAACATTAAGAGCAGTGCATCTGGAACTTGATGATGATTAAATGTTACAGAACCAATGTTACTGTATGTCCATGTTAAATAAACACATAAATAAAGTAAATCATTCATTGCAGCAGTGGTATCTATCAGCGCCCATTGTACAGTTTATTAATAAAAAGGAAACTTTTGGGGCATTCACACGAATACTGAAAAGGTCCTGATAAAGTTTTCGGGGCGACAAGTACGACTCAAAACGATGAGAGAAGCAAAAACCTTCACATCGTCCACTGATGGACTTGTTGTCATGTTACCAAAACTCTATTAAAACTCAAACAATATCAACAAATGTCTGTTTCAATACTACAACAGCAAAAAGAGAAGTCCGCCCAGGCAGCAGACACAGGGGATGCTCATGTTCTTAGCTTGTTCTTAGAAATGCAGAAACAACTCCTGAAAACTGTCAGAATCACACAAATACATTCAGCTCTAAAATTCTACAATTCACTGAGCAGACTCTTTTCTCCAAAGCGACGTACATCAGAGAGTAAGAACAACACAAGCAAGGATCTAGAAAAAAGGGAACAATGTGAGTAAGAGCAAACGATCAGCTTTGAGTCTGATTGGACACACAGGTGCTGACAGGAAGTGACCAGAGGCAAAGCACAACATTGAGGGCAGTTCTTGAGAGCTCTAATCAGTATAGAAACCATCTTATAAGTCGTCGTTATCAAACAAAAACCATCGTCATTACCATCATCATCATCAATAATATGGAGACCATCATCATTAAGTTAGTAGGTATTCATGAAAGAGCTGGGTCTTTAGCTTTTTCTTAAAGGTGCAGAGGGACTCTGAAGATCGAAGCTCTCTTTGTTTTGGTTAAAATTACGATTGTGTTTGGTGTTTAAGATGTCCTCAGTACTTTCTGAGACTGAAATGGTTCTAAAACATGAATCACACATCTGCACAAAACTGTTTGCTGTCCTTAAAAATGATGAAGACAAATAATAAATAATAGGAATATGGAGAAGTGAATGACACACACACACACACACACACACGAAAGAAGGGCAGCTTGTTTACTCTATTAGCCTTAATAATGGATTGAGGTTGTCTTGTTCCTGTTAAGCAGCTGATTCTGAGCCTTTCTGCATCCACACACTCACACACTCACACACTCACACACTCACACACACACACACACACACACACAGCTCACACACTCACACAGCTCATAATTACAGACGACGGCACCAGGCGTTATTTGCTGAAAATGACACGCTCTGTCACTCTCACACGCACCAACAGAGGATAATAATCTCTCGACGTGCAGTCAAATCCACAATCATCCAAACAATGTATGAGGAAGGGGAGGGGCCGCCATGTTGCCTGCATCGATGAGCCCGCTGTTGCCATGGTAATTGCCTCTCTTTGGCTGTGGGCTGTGTGTGTGTGGAGACAGAGAGGAGGTGTACTGCAGCTCTATCAATCTACAGGACCACTTCATGAGGACAAAACAAAGTCTAACATCAGGAGACGAGACCGCCACCACCGCACGCTCCTCCTCCTTAGCCTCCATGACACTCACCGTTTGCGTGGACTCCTCTCTGTGGCTTTACATGATTAGCATCAGGTATTAGCACAAATAGACGGCTAACAAGATTCCTGACAACAGATCACGGGGCGAGGCGGTCACTCTAACCTTCCTCTGACTGAGCTGGAGGACGGCGCGGTGAGGGAGGAGCGTCAGACAGAAACACTCAGACGTGTAAAAAAACAGAGCTGCAGAAAGTCTCATCGTGTCTCAGAATAACGCCTGCACGTGGGAGGAAGCAGTGTAACCACATGATTAAAACTCATTATCAAGTCGACGGCTCTGTAGAGAAATGAGCGATACTTCACTAAAAGGATCAAATGTTTAGAGAAAGTTGTCTTTATATGAGATTTAAAAAAAACTTAAATATAATATAAATCAAGTCTATCCTCTGAAAATAACTCTGTGAGTCATGACTGTCTACAATGGGTGTAACACCCGAGTCCCACTGTCTGTGATGCTTTCAGAGTCTTATCTTCACTTTGTTTACATCGCCAGGACGGCCGGCTGACTCCTCCCCTCGTGTATAAAAGTTGTTTAATTGAGGGACTAGAGAAAAGAAGAATAACATACTGTACTCACTGCTTAACTGTGTTTCTAGATCACGCTCATTTCAGGTAAATTTACATGCAGTGTGAAGATACCAGCATAATAAAGATCACTAGCATTAGCATGCTAACACAACAATGCAGCACCAGTTGTTTTGGTTTCATGCTGGTGCTCAAGGGCGACATCTGCTGGATCAAAAAAATCACATAAAGCCTTTAAGGCAGCAGGGGAATGTAGTGCTGTAACGTCTGTTTCTTTATGAGACGCAGAGAGGTCAATTTGAGTCTCTATGTGGAGACGGGACAGAGGATAGAGTTCAGGTTTGTGAGGCGAGCGGCGCCTCATGAGACGCAGAGAGGACTTAAACAATCTCAGAGCGGGGGAATTTGATCGGTCGGTTTCTGTCAGAGCAGCTTTTGGTAAAAACTCTGAAATAATGGACGATAAATGTTTTGTTAGAAAAACTTTGTAAGCAGCAATGTCGACGATGTCGTCTGATTTTAAAATGTTTTTCTTTTCCGTCTACTAAACGTTATTAAAAAGAAGAATCACAAATGGATCTCTTCCATCTCGTTTGTTGATGTTATTTAATAATAGAGCATCAGGATCAGAAAATGACATTTCCTGCTTTCTCTTTGTGTCATATTTAAATTCACTTCTTTAGCTCAGGGCGGTAAAACAAGTTTCATGAAGAGATCACTTCCATCCAGAGGAACACAAACAAGTCTCTGAGGTGGTTATGGTCACATGATGGTCGAGGTCAATCAGCAGATTACACACTGTAACGATAAGACGTCGTCGTGACTCTTTGACTGATTGATGAATATGTGTTTGTGCGATGATGGATCGACGTGTTTTATACCAAAAGGTAAACATGGAGGAGGTGTGCAGGTTACATCCAGTAAACTAAAGAAGCAGATTTGATTTAATGATTAAAATCCTGTTTGTGTGTGTGTGTGTCTTTGTGTGTGTGTGTGTCTTTGTGTGTGTCTTTGTGTGTGTGTCTTTGTGTGTGTCTTTGTGTGTGTGTGTGTGTGTGTGTCTTTGTGTGTGTGTGTCTTTGTGTGTGTCTTTGTGTGTGTGTGTGTGTGTGTCTGTCTTTGTGTGTGTGTGTCTGTCTTTGTGTGTGTGTGTGTGTGTCTTTCTTTGTGTGTGTGTGTCTGTCTTTGTGTGTGTGTGTGTGTGTGAGTTTCAGTGACAGAAATCGTCTGCAGCACAAACAGACAGTGAGCCTCCTCGCCGTGTCACTGTTTACGACTCGCTCCTCGTGCCTCCTATCATCCGTCCTCACGTCTTCCTCTCGCTCTTTATCTCGGCTGCAGACGTGATGCATCATTTCCCCCCGCCGCCACGCCGCCACTCACAAAGACAACGTGCTCACTCACTCCACACAGGCCGACTCACGGGGCGTCCTGTTTACAGAATGGGTGCTACTGACACACACACACACACACACACACACACACACACACACACACACACACCACACACACACACACACACACACACACACACACACACACACACACACACACACACACACACACCACACACACACACACACACACACACACACACACACACACACACACACACACACAGGACTAAACGTGCCACGGAGGTATTAGGAGGGACGGAGGAAAAACGGCGTTCTTACATCATCAAGACTCGAGGATTAACCTTAATCGCTGAACACTTCAACACTGCCCAGCTAATTCAACAAATGGCCTCTTCCCGAGCAGACACACACACACACAGACAGACACAAAACACACACACACACACACACACAGACTCAGACTCTCTCACACACACACACACACACACACACACACAGACTCTCTCTCTCTCTCACACACACACACACACACACACACACACACACACACACACACACCTCGGCCACAGGTGGGGGCGTGGCGAGTGTACAGAACCAGAACCTGAACCTGGGAGTCATGATATATTGTGAATTTGAAGCTGCATCTTTATCGACTTTCTAGACTCAGTTCTTTGAGGGAAACGTTTTGTCTTCTTCTGGGGTTTTTGTCTTGAACCTCAGTCACAGATGTGATAAGCAAACGAAGATAACGCTTAAAATATAAAGAGAGAGAAATTGTGACCATTCTCTCCCGCCGTGAGGTGCGTGTGTGAACAACCCAATCAGGAGGATTTCAGGAGCAGAACTCCAGAACTGACAAGAATCGAAACAGCTGGAAACTTAAAGAGTCCAAAATCTGTATCACCTGCACCATCAGACGGGTCTCAGGTCGTCACCAAGGTCACACGTGTCACTCCCTGTCTGCCTCATCGCCGTTATCTTCAGGAAGTGCACACACTCT